CCCCAAAACCCCAAAACCCCAAAACCCCATGACTTTAAATTGTTTGGCTATATAATTAGAGAATAATATAACTGAAAAATAATTTATTTATGGATTCAAATAAGAGTTGTGTTTCTTCAAATACAAATCCTAATTAGTCACTTATCTAGGACTACTGGAGAATAAATACTTCAATGAGCAAGAAATAGGGAGAAAGCAAAAGAAATTCAATATATTCTGCAATTACTAAAAGATCTAGATTGGTTTAATAGCATAAAGATAATCAAAATGAAATAATTTCAACAACTATATAGCCATCATCAAGTGAAGCATAGACTAAGATGCAATTCTACAGATCACCAACTTATAATTAATCTGGGAATACTAGTGCATTCATATAGTAAAATCAGGCAAATCTAAACGGCTCATTTCTACCTATAGGAAAGGAAAATAAAATGAGCTTATCAAATAACTAAATACTTACAGACAGATGTAAGAGTGCCTCAGTAGGTCAGAGGATTAAGAAGTAGCCAGAGTTTAAGAGCCCATATTAATAAACAGATAATTCTGAGAAATTGAATGATAGTTAACAGAGAGAAGGGTATCAATCTTCGATGTGTGTGGGCTCAAAACTCATCATTGAGAAAAAAGCATAGGACACATAATAAAGAGAGAATTATATTAAGGAATAATGTTTTCAGAGATATGGAGGTAAGGATCAATTATCAATGATTGACGTCTATATCTAAAATCAAAATAACTAGAAATACTTCACTCCTGGCATCTAAAAATTCGAAGAGAATCTCGTTAATCAATTGAAAAAACTAAAAGGACATGAAGAACCCCAGTAGAAGGGAAAAAGTGCACTGAGATTTGGTAATAAAACTGGAAGATAGAATACAATATAGAATCTATACACTCGAAGAGAAAAATTAGACAGTTCTTTCCACCAATAATTTGATAGCTTTGACAATTCAACTTAGGCTGATAAATACATTAGCAGAAGATAGAATAAATTAATGGATGGTGCTAGAGGATCACTTTAGCACATATATTATAATGGTGGAATCCCTAAGACACTTCTGAAGAAGAAGTCGTTATTAGTGGATCAAAGCAATAATGCAAAAAACAAAAGTTTCTTAGATTCATCTTATCTTAATCAGCCTATAAGTAAAGACAAATTAAATTTTGCTAAAGCTAAGTGGCTAAGAAAACATGGAGTTGAAATTCTTGTTGTAGATAGTAAAGAATCAGAAGAGGAATCTCGGAAGCTATTTAGATATATAGATTTTGGTAATGACGGAGTGATATCTAAGCAATAAATTCGACTATTTATAAAATTTTTGGAGGGTGAGCTATCTCAAGACGAACTAAAAAAGAGCCCTATAGAGTCAAATCATATAGTAAAGTAATTGAAAAAATTGGTATTAAATCACAATCAAAGCAAAATAGATGAAAATACTTTCTCTTTTCTAATGACAAAAGTTGACAATAAAAGTCAAAATCGAGCTTACTATAATAAGCTAATCCCTCATAATAACTATATTAATAATAATAATAGTGCTGGAGATATTATAAATAACAATCGCAATGGATATTAAGAGCCTTTATCTGAGTTAATTAAATAAGATCCTCAAGTAATACAATAAAAAATGTAAAGTAATAACTTAGCTAGGGATGCTTAACAGGCTATAGATTAATTAGAACTAAATAAGGAAAGAACAACTAATCTGAAAGTTAAACTAGATTAAATCTTGACTAAATGTAAGGAAATGAAGACTTTGACTATTTCAAATAAATCATCTATTCAGAATACTTTTAGCAGTTAGCTTAATTCCAACTTTCAATCACTTAATATCCAATAGAAATCAGTTGCAAATAACAGCTAAAATCTACTTCGAGATTAGGAGCTAGTAGACTTAAATCGATTGTTCAAAAAGCTTTAAACTCAGATTGACCGTTTTGAGTAGCATTCTATAAGGATGTCTTAGTTGAGTGATTTTGAGAGGCTTTAGTAGCAGTTAGAATAATTTGGAGTACAGTTAAATTAAGTTGAGAGGCATATAAAGTAAGAGGAGATCAAGCTAAAGGGAGTGAATTCTGAAGAGATTTTAGTTGCTGAAGACCTAAATTTTAAATAGCTGAAGAATCTAAACCAAACTCTTAATAGAAGAGCAGTTATGAATAAATTAGCAAAAGACTTTGATACTAATGCCCTAGGAAAATAGAAACGTAGAGATCTCAATGACCAAAAAGATAACTTAAAATATAATTGGTAGTCTCAGGTTTAATAGTAGGAATTAAGCGGGTAAAAGCAGAATTATATGACTAATCATTACCAAAATTGATAAATTAATAATCATAAATTATAAATTATTCGAAGTCCTAGTTATATATCTGATTCTCATCACACGGGGTTTTGGGGTTTTGGGGTTTTGGGG